CCCGCCTCACCCAGGCGGAAGCAGTCATTCGATGATTTTTCCCCCCTTAAAAAAGACCATAATTTACCCCTATTCCCAATTTCATCCCGATCCCTTCAGTCGTTTTGCGGGAAAGAGTAACAAACACATACATATACATACTCAATTCACTTTACAATTATAATATTAGTTTATGTGATCACAGGTTTATTTACAAAGTCCCATAACAGAACAACACAAAAGATGTTGTTTCCCAATACCTTCAAAAGAAATCCTTATGGTCAATATCACAAGATCCAAAGAACGTTTGCATAGGTACTTGGATACTTTTCCATTTATGTAATAAAATGTGAAAAAATGAGTATGTTAAAGGCTGAAACCTTAGCTCATTGTATTGCCAGTGACATTTCCCATCGATGTTACACAATATTATTCATGCACGACACGCGTTCCTTTTACCACGGCACGGAAAATAAGGTTTTTCATTTATTAAACATGTCTTTATCACATGGGAACTTTGAATTTCTATTTTCAACGTATTTTTGTAAGTAAATGATGGCGTTATGATAATATTTATTGGATATATGAATAGCGCAATAATAGGCGTGAAATTATCGTCTCGTCGCTCCTTCGTGTGGTCGTATTTTGAATACATAGAGGTCGTAATATAATTAAAAGTAAAACCTAAGTAAAAGGACTTTGACAGAAAGGCAGACGTTATGTTATTTAGAAATGATTGCAGCACCAAATGCAATGGTATATTTATGTGTGCGTGCACTTGCAACACCGTTAGTAATGCATGAAGTGTCAGGCCATGTCACGCGATGACGCGACAGATGTGTTTGTATTCTGCGTGTAAGTCTATTGTAGCCAGGCGACACAGTCGTTGGTTCAAGAGACTATGTCCGCCTATTTTTCAACATCCTTGCCTAAATATAAGCCGTCATAATTCTAAATCCTCTACCTTAATCAACATTTAAACGATAAACAACGGTATGAAATACACAATGGGATTAATGAACAAGGTTTGCTCTACTTATATAATCTCCACGCTTCAGTTTACTAGAAATAACTTACCTGTCTAATCAATGGTCCCCAGTCGGATCTTTTGACCCACGGGCAGAATAGGGTAGGCCATTGTATTCTACTCTATCGTCACAACACACACGACAAAATTTTAACCAACTTGTCATATAAAAATATAAACACGATACGAAACCCAAACTAATGTTAACTGCAGTAAAATTAAGGCAAACTAAAAGTTTTAGCATGTGTACATATTATTATAACTGAATTAAACTTGTAAACTGACAAGCTAAATTTTAGTTCAGAGTTTAATACCTGGAATGGCGCTGCAACTGGGCTGTTGGGATAGTCGGGATACTTTAGCGCATGCCATACAAACTCACACACAAACACTAACTCTATTTCCTTTGAATGCATGCAGTACCATGTATTTTCTAACATATATTTTCCTAGTGGACTTTTCAGATTCCGCGAATAATCTGTTCATCTTAGTTCTGTCCCGAGAAATGTTAATTTAGCAACGCGTTGCCTGCAAGTCGAGCACCGTGCAACTTCAAATAAGAGCTATACGGTCTCCCCATTCATTCGCTACTGCTTGAAACGAATTAAACATTTCTATTTCACATCATTTCAACTTTTAGCCTGTATTTAGTTACTTTCCACTGAGTTTTTCTGGTTTCTTCCAGTTCCAAGTTCCCTTACAAGCAACTGTTACATGACTGGTCCATGATATTTTTATAACTATAGCCCAGCACAAAGTTCAATGTATATTTATAAAAAAGCGAAGCCCAATGAAAGAAATCCGCCATGTTCGATTGTTATGATGTTGTTTTGGATTTTATTAATAATAAAGTCTTTTACTATAAGCTGCACTTATCCGAAAGGTACTCAGACATCTTAAAAGAATAGCGGCTAAGCCCTCTCAGGAATATCCCGAGAGAGAGTAAGCAGTGTACCCACATTGTGTTACGTTAGATAAATGCTCAGTACGTCTCTCCGGTTCCCGGATAATCTGTGTTCGGTATCTGGTGGCGCGTGTATGTGGGTGTAAATTGGGTTGATACCTGTGAAAGCTTTCGTCCTAACTCCGGTGCCTCCACCCGCCGACGTCAGGCGGCTCTAGCCCAGTAAGAACGGCTTAAATTCACTTCGAAAAATTCAATTTATCTAAAATAACTGAATTCCAAAAGGATGGAATCTCTTGTAATTATGGAGTAAAAAAATTACCTAAATACCGTTGCTTAAGTATTAGAGGTATTTTAAAAAACTTCGAGAGAGATTACCTTGTAAAAATAGCTTAACAAATATTTCTGTACGTTATTGTTCCTTTTATACTTAATTTCTTTGTCCGTCAGCAATTTAATACCGCGTTTGAAGACTACTGGACGCATTGCACAAATTGCTTTTAATTTAAAATTATTTTTAAATTTCATAGCAACGAATTCTTCCTTCTTTCCATTGCTTGACCATCTGGAAACTTGTTCTTTCTTTTGACATACGGATCTCGAACTTCCAAAGGCTCGTTTGCAAAAAGGTCTCATTATGAGAGGTCCCTATGTTATGATGTTCCAAGGAATGTACATTAACAAGAACTGCAAATTTTGAACCAAACTGCTTTCAAATAACGTACACAGCGAGATGCTCGTTGCATGATAACTTTTTAAAACAAAGTTATTAATTAAAGAAAAGTTGGTACTGTGTTGGGCGGAATTAAAGATGAAATAGTAATTAATAAGACTTCTACTAGTCTACATTCGTAATGATAATGATAGATGACACATGTAACCAATCTACTAGATAATACGGAACTTCTCTAACAGTTTCGCTTTATAGTTCACTAGCTTGCTCCAGTGTTAGTCTAATATCTTTGTCATAAGACTAGCTACGTCGTAGTTGTGAACCTCATATGAAAGCTTAGGAAAAGGTTTATCTAAAATCGCGTAAGTTTCATAGCGAAATTTTCTGTTACACGACCACATGTCTGAGTAGAAATAGTATGTTTTATTCTACAATTAAAATGACATTACATTACATTTATGATTTTAATTAGTAACTTAACTATTGATGTGATATAATTCTATACCTAACCGTTATCTTTCTTCCAATATGATAGTTTTTGTCGCAACATAACACATAGGTATGGTAGATTTCCAACAATGATGTACCTTTAATTGATGACGGACACTCAAATTACATAAACTATTAATTACTCAGCTCGAAGTGGTTTATTATTAAAATATTAATGTTTGTGAAGTGAAACAAACTTGAATAATTTATCCATATCGAAAAACACTCAAGTGGATTAGGTACACTCTTTAAGATTGCTCGTTTCCATATACATAAGTTATTTATTCCTTTACTGTAATCTACTAATGGACATAATACACTTTTCTGACCGTCTAATAAACCCTATCTGACAGTTTTCAAAACCTAACCGTGTAGGGATGGGAATAAAATATTCTGTTTTTATTTTTCATGTAAGTAATACCTAAATCAAATAATCTCTTTTCGGTGCAACATAAAAATACTAATTTTGTGAAATATTCAGCTGTGGTCTATTTTTAATGTGGGTAAAAATTAAGTAACTTGGAGTTGTAAGTAATTATCATAAAATGTTCATCGAAATTGGATAAAGGTAAAAGATAGCATGACGTGATCGTAGGTAAATGGTAATGTAGGGCGGGCCTCCACCTATCGATCAAGTTTTATGAAAATGTTGCCACATAGCAAGCACCTCATAGATATATCAAATTTGGCAGCGACGTCGTCGCCCAAATAAATTATGTGTCGCTTAAAACGCTTGTTTTTATCACTTTCAAGACTAATATACATCACTGTGTAATGTTGTAATCTTCGTAGGTGAAAACATTTTACTCAAAGCTCTGACAAAAAACAATTAGCCGTTGTCGCGTGTCAAATTTGTAGCGCGGTGGTTAATCAAGCCCGGGTTACCCAACGCGGTGAGTGTTCTTGTTGTTGTAATGTTGTATAGACAAAGGCAAGGTTGAGGTCAATATCAAAGCTAGTTGTACTGAAAGCAATTTGGTTATAAACTGCAGATTTACACGACCTTCAGCCCATCCATCTGGTAAGCGAGCGACGGCCGCGGAAGCGACACAACAATATCTACGTCTATCCGACGCCCGCTTTCGTAATACCTTTCGGAATGTATGACTCATTTCAATGGACCGCTCTCAAAATTCTCTTCACTTTTTCATATCAATCTAAGAATAATTTCGTTTTGTTGTGTTTTGTAATACGAATGACCACCAACGTAACTGTTGGACATCATATAGACTGGTGCTGAAACCACTACAAACGTTATCTTAACATATTGCCTTATCAGAGCCGTATTGTTGTTGGCAGTGAACGTTATCTGGCGAATTGCGCTATCTGTAACTCGTATCGAACCGCAATCGATCCCGTACTAACACCAATTCGACTCAAGGAACTATCCACTTAAATATAAGTCTGACTGACTCGCTGTTCCACTACATCTAGGAATTTTTACTCATCCTCTTCAAATGAGGTTCCTGTCACTGTGATTCAATTTGTGAAAAATCCTCTAGTGTATTTTACAGTTGTATATTGCGACCAGCATTTAATCCTATTAACGCAGAATTTAAAGTGAAAATTTTCCTCTATTTCCTGGCAACGAAAAATCTCGGTACGAGTTATAATGAATCGTTGCAAATATAGAAATTAAAACCATAAGCAAGCTTTAACATGATGCAATTTAACATTACCAAGTATTTCAGGGTTTCATTAAGTGCTTCATTTTGACTTAATATTCCTGTGAATTTACTCTAATTCTAATAAATGGTATCAAAGGAAATTCGTAACCAAAATATGTTGTAGTTAATAGCGAAAAGGGAACCATGTGGGTTTAAAGTACATTCAATTTTGAGCTGAATTGTTTTACAAGCGAGGCATTTATAACAACGTTTGGTATGATGTAATTACACGTAGCGTAATGGTGTTTTCTTCTGTCGTAGGCCGGTCCTGAAATGACGTGGGTGCTAGCGGAGCACAATGCGTCAGGTGCTGGAGAGCTGTCCGTGTCGAAGGGGCAGCAAGTGGAGGTGGTGGAGCCGTGGCAGGCGCGCGCCGATTGGTGGGTGGTGCGCGTGCCGGGCGAACCGCCCCTCGAGGGCGCCGTGCCATCGCACGTGCTCAAACTGCAGCCCCACCACCATCCCCAGCAGAAGACATCACCTTCCAGGCGACCACTCAGCCAACCCTGCGAAGAAAATACAGGTAGGTAACTATTCCGATAAATTGAACAGCAATCACCATTACCCATTGAAAGAACTTCGAAAACTACAAATATAATAGGAACTGTTAGTATCTAGTTATCCTCGAGTAAAAAGTGTCTGATCTCGCCTCAAAGTTACCTGTCGGCTATAAGAAAACGGAGTACAACTTACAACTAACTTTTAATTGGATGGAAAAGGTTAGAGATACAGAATCCTATTAAGCAATATTTTGCTCATACAAGACTTGTGCATTTAAATGTGTTATGAGCGAATGAAGTGTAATGAGCGAATACTGATGGTAACTAAAAGTTAGATTTCTGTATATTTTAATGAAAAATACGAAACATTCGTGTATGTACCTCTAGTTTAATACCTATTCTAAAATTCTAAAGATTGTTGGTCATCTCCGAGATCTTAATTAAGACGAAGCTCAAACACATTAATCCTGTAGGTTAGTTAACAGTACTTAGTTAGAACCACAACGGTGTGGTGCCTCGAAGCTCAAGATCAGGGATCAAAGCGTCTTATTTGATTATTTCGTAGTTAAATGAGTATAAAACGCTCACAAGCTAACTGACTTAATTCATATACAAGAAACTAGGAGGCTCTCGGTTCATCGGAACCTTTTCTGTTTTATATTTTTTTGTCTTAAAACCAGGCGTTTCAAAGGTCAGGATTCAGATCCTGACCTTTGAAACATTATAGGTTTCCATAGTTATCAGTAACTATGGAAACCTATAATGAATCGAAACTATAATCGACAGCGGGTTCCTGTCCATCAAAGCACATCAATATTAATTTTCTGTACAGCTCTATATTTTCATCATACAAATGTGGACGCTATCAAGATGAAACTCCATGATAGTCAATGGAAATGTGTCTCTCGTATTGATTCACGTGATTGTCATCTAGTCCGAACGTACAGGGGTGGTTTCGAATTAAATCACGGACAAAAACAAGCTGATACAAAGCGCAAAGGGGGATCGTGTTGACAGCGTCAGGTACTGTGTATAACCTGTGTAGGTAGTCTGTACAGGCAATAGTAACCCTTCCTGTATCATACGTATAGAAAATGTATAAACGGGAAAACTGAACAAACTGACATAGTATTCACGTCCGGCGTACAGTTAGCGTCAAATATTTTGGTGATACTCAGCGTATTCAAATCAACTGACTTAACGAAAATGACAATAATATCGGTAAAAAATTAATAATTGTTAACGATACCTGTACTACACTGTACAGGTATCGTTAACAACACACCTAATCGTTCTAAAACTTAAGACGTTCTTAATGTCATACAAATAGGGTCAGCGGTCAGTCAAACAGCTCTAAATATGGTTACAGTCATACCATGTAATAAATGCCTCATGGTATTCCATGAGGTATTACATCATGTGATGTCTTCATTAGACAATAATTTCTGATTACTATTTCTCACAACTCTTTGAAAATACAGTATGAAACTATAAAATTTTGTTTGAACCGATATTATCAACTTTTTGGTTATTTATTTGCTGTACGGCCTCACAATTTGACGCTCAATGTATCGTACATATCTAGTATTTTGTTTTATTATTACGCCGGCCGGAATCCACACCACCGTGTTTGAATAATTGCACTGAACGAAATAAGAAAACAAATATATCCAATCGGAAACTCGGATCGCCACGCGAAACAAATTCGGTAGCGAAAAATTTCAAATCAAACTTTAGCAAAATCCATTGGAAACAAACAACTGTTAGTTTTGTTGAGTTTAAAAAATATCTGTTTTTAGCATTCGTACCTACTCAAGGGATAAACAAAGCATAATAATTTCCACAGTTGATGTTCATCTATTGCCGCTATAAGATTACAATAATTTCATTTAGATGATTTTCTATACAGCATAAAGAAAATCATGAAACAAGTAGATATTAATTATTGTATCAAGTTCTTTTAAAACATTCTATTCGATATTCGCACAATTCCACGCCCACTGTTGCAAACGTATCGAATGTATTATTTCCAATAATTACAAATAGGATATATTTTATTTCCTTCTCCTGTCAATTAGTGTAAGAACAGGAAAATATCCTCTCCGATACGTCCTCGCTGTATTTGTAATTAATTTTACAGTGTCTTTTGTTTTGTTTTCCAATAACGGCTGCCATTAAAAGAACTCGTGCAACATTTTACTTCATTTGTACAATCGGCCAGTTGGAAATGTGACCCACCGTAAGCTTAGTGTCCTTATTGACATGACAATGTGACATTATATTCAAATGCAATTAGGTCGACATTCGTGTAAACATACTTTTTCATGGAAACAAGGTTGTTATCTGCCGTATGATTATACTTATGAGAACTATCTATTACAAGTCTCTATCTTTGTTGAAGAAATATTTGGAGTTGGTAACATAACTGTGATAAATCTTTACTTAGAGATTATTTCAACAACTTTGAATTCAAGATATTTATTATTATTTGTCTAACTGTTTAAAGAGAAATAAAATAATAATTATTATATTAAAATTGAAAAGATCTTCAAACCCTATCGCAGCAGGCCAAAATTTAAAACTTTCTTAATTCGGCATTCTCGACAAAGAAGGAAAATCTTTTCTATTTGATAGTTTAAAACAATTTGTGAAGCAGGTTAGATTCGATGTTGTCGATTGTACATAGTACAAATATAAAATACAGATGTTGCGACAAGAATTACGATAGCGTGTAAAAATTGCAGTTCAACGGTCTTCATTTATTAATGACATCCTTTAATACGTGTCCATCGAAGTGAACGAGTAAGAATGTCGCTTAAAATAATATTGCAACTCGGCGTTAGAAAATAATATTGTCATTTTTCCTATAACATTATTGCACAGGAAAAGTAATTTCGTTTTTCTCAGAATAATGTGTACTTTATCATGTTTACGGAATAGACGTAAACAGAACAAATATTGTAGGTAATAAACTATCATTTTCAAATATAAGCAGACAATATATTTCCACTTTGCTTCCAATAGTTGTGATCCAATAAAGTTGTTTCAATAGAGCCGAGGCCTGATGCAAATGTTGAAACCGTTTCAACGGGCAATTTTATGTAGTCTGACGTCTGAAGGGGTTGCTAGGCGACTATCGTGTATTATTGCCGCCGTTCCATCTAATATACCATGTCAATGTGATCTCAGAGTGCGAGCTTTACGATTTAAATACTAAGCATTTTATAATTCCCTGATCACGATTTAATATACTGCTTTTAAGTGTGAAGTAGATCAATGAACACAAGGTTGGTTTAACAAGAATTGATGGTATGTTCGTCCGTACAGTTAAACCACTTTAAAATTTAAATAATAAAGTACATAAAGGTTAAAGTTCGCGACTTGTTAATTAGCTATACAATGTTCTTTACTTGACAGTGGCATCCTGATCGGGATTCCTGTAAAGAGACGGCTTCCGAAAGTTTTAATAACTTACACGGAGTTTATAATTAATCGAGAAGCAAAGACTGGCTCTGTGCATCGAAAATAATGTTAGGTACCTACGTATATACCCGATGGAAGTTCGTTATATTGCGCTTCAAACGTTCCCATAACGTCATTAGCAGGGAACGTGGTCCCGTATGTTGTAATGCACTTAATTAATGTGTACGTAGTGAAATTTTCTCAATAACCGAGACTTCCTGTGTCGTATAGGCCTAGTACATTACTGGCGAACTTCTTCTTAGATATGTATTATATGTAATAAATATTTGTTTAACTACATTTGTCTCACACACACTACAGTTTACACAACGCTAAACTTTCATTGAGAACTTAATTAGAACCCTATCCTGGGAGCCGTTTCGCTTGAAAGTGACGACACACGCTTTTGTTAGCATTCGAGTAGTCTTTTTGTTCCTTGCATTACATTTTGCATCGCATCACTGAAACATTTCTGTAGACAGCGCAAATTAATTAAACTGCAAATACATTCAAGTCAGAACTTATACGAACGAGCGTCTTGAATGAACATCTAAGTTCCTGATTCCGAAACAACATTCGATATGGTTTCGATGAATGTCTTCTACTCAGGTAGTAAATTGTTAACTTGCCACTACAGATTTTATCTGGGTGAAGGTGTACAGGTGTCAGTTGTAGATCGCACATCACTCGTTTTGGAAAAGACAAATAGTAAAGTCTTGTAGCGTTAAATTTTAAAGACCAAAAAACAAGAAATGGCTTCGGTTTTAAAAATACTACAGCTTTGCGTGTCGGGGGTAGAGAAACTCGTGTTGCATTGTGGACATAAGGGGTAATATTAACCAAATAAATCTGATTATATTGGAGGGACTACTTTCTTAACACGTCTGTTAGTCACCTTAATAAAAGTCATAGTATTTGCTTAAACTGGGAATTGCATCCGAGCTATTTTATTTCTCCAATCTCCAATTACCTCCCCCGCCCGGATGAGGCGAGACCCCCGTGTTAGACTTTTGCTGACTGAAAACGACCCCGTTCTTACTCCTGCACTTCGAGCCGGAGCCCCGGCAACCCGTTACGTCCTTCGCGACTCTGTAGCCGAGTTACCTAGCTCCAATACTTACTCAATAGTCAGACATTTGACCAATAAAAATAACTAGCTACTTAAAAAACTAGCAGACAAAATTATAAAATTTTATTTGCTAGTTCAGTAGTAAATGATTCAATATATTCAAACATACATACCAGGCTTAATCCACTCCTGTCTGAATACATTAAATCATTTACTCCGATGCTCAGATTTAATTACCTGCGCTTTAAATTAGGCTAAACCCAACACTGGAAATGTTACATAATGGTATTACAGTTCCATTCATATCAATAGCTAATAGGGATAGGTTCTGAATGTACTGGTTATAGGATCAAAACTCAAACTAATTGCACAATGTGAATAACTATATCTATGTTTATCTTTCACGTTTCATACATTTAGGCTGTTATGAAATATTTTGCTCTGATTTTCTTTTATTTTTTCTTCTGAAAGAGTTACGCAAAATCTTCTTTA